ACATTGGGATGCCTTGCTGTTTTTATTGGGTGAAAAGGGGGCACGGGGAAGAGGAAGTGGTGCACCCCCGCGACTCCTCCTCCTCCAGGGGGTAGAATTATAGCCGAGGGATGTAAACACGTATTTCTAACACGTCCAACCAAAACTCCCCGCAAAATCCCGATTTCGCTTTTTTTTGCGTCAACAAGAGGATCGATTCTTACGTCATTGATTCACGGAAGAAGAAGTTTGGTTGAAAGAACCAAATATTTGGTGAAGTACGAACGAACAAGAAATTCCGATTGAAGTTACCGGAATTCTATCCACGTTAACAAGATTGCCAGTTAACCTGAACAAAGTTGCAAGTTGTGGTTAACTAGAAATCTTGTTGAGTTAAGCAGAATTCTGGTAACTACAATCGGAATTTCTGGCTCGTTTATATTTCACTTGACATTTGGTCAACCCAACCAAGCTTTCTTTATATGTCGGAAATTGTGCGTTCTTAAGTTAATCTCTGATGATGCAATTTTCCCGATTTTTGCATTATTATATCATCAGTCGATTATCTAAAATTATAATTATTATAATAATTTTGAGTAATCATAATAATTATTCATCAGTATCGCGGCTTTTTGAAAAAAATATATATCATATTTTTTACGCGGCAAAATTATTTAAGAAAAGATGAGTAGCTTGGTCGAGTCGTCGAGTATGAAATTTCACGGCAGGTGATTCGAATGAAAAATACATACATCCTCGAATACATCTCCGATAATCGAGATTTTATGTAAAATATTAGCTATTAGTTAAGTGAATAATCAGCCGTGCGATCGCGCTGACGCTCGGGCCGTCGTCAGTGTCGATTGAGAGATCCAGGCTGCATTCGAGGGCAGTGCGAGGCTATCTCGACCAAGACCAGTCTCCTTAAGTCGGATTGACACGTCTACTCACATATGTCTATAGAGCGTCCGCCGCAGAAGCAGAGGATCAGCAGGTAAAAGATGAGGCACGTCTGCAGGTAGTCCATGGTAGCGTCGATGGTCCGCGCGCCGGTGGTCATCGAACTCTCATAACCGCTCCTGCGAAAAAAAAAGTTGCAAAAAATTACACACACACGTACGCACACGTGCGCGAGTACGAGCGACTCAGCCTTGTACCAGAATTACATAGAGGAGAAAGAGAGAGGGAGAGTGAGAGAGTGAGAGAGAGAGAGAGAGAGAGAAAGAAAGGGAGAAAGAGAGTGATTAACAGAGTGATTCCCGGGAAGGCGTCTTGCCAGCCTTAGAGATTGCTGCGCGGGCGAGGGTTCGATGGGAAGATGGCGGGGGAGGGGGACGACGCGACGCGACGCGGAGGATGCAGAAAAAGGAGCCGGGGAACGGCCTCTCCGGCGTTTCGGCCTCCCCGTGCTTTTCGCCGGGGTGAAATGGCGCGGTTCCCGTGCCGGACAGATATACGACCGGTACAGGAGCCCCCATGGACAAAGAGCTACATTCACGCCAGCAGCCATTACGCGTCATTATCGAGATTAGGATCGGCCGTTCGCCGTTCTAGGGAGAAAGAGAGAGAGAGAGAGAGAGAGAGAGAGGGGCAGAACCGGACGGAAAAAAGGAGTAGGGCCCCTGGTCGTGGATCAGAGTCGCGAGCGAGAGAAAGAACCGCGAACGACGCCGTGGGGCAGCAGTCTCTTTGGCCGTCTCTCTTCTCTCCTCTCGTATGCGAAGGGGCGATAGAAAGAGAGAAAGAGAGAGAAAAAAGCTCGTATGTACCGGATGATAGTCTCGGGGCTGACATGGGGAGTTTGCAGGGAGGGAGGAATGGAAGGACTGTATGTAGTTTATTCACGGCGATGGCGCAGGAAAGAAAAGCGTGGGGAACCTCTCTTTCTTTGCCTTCGTCCTCTCCCTTGCTCCGGCAGGCCGTACGAGAGGCCTCACTTTTTGGCTAATTAACGACGGGAGGAGAGGGTGGGTTTCTTCGACTACCGCCGGTCGCTGCTCCGCGATGCTTATCTCCGCTCGGTTTTAGGCAGGACCGCTCTCTTCGTTACACCGCGACGAAAATACCCGGCGAGGATGGACGGCGTTTTGTATCCGCTGCCGCGATCGCCGACTCCGTGAATCCCTCGGCGGTTCGAATTTATATCGCGAATATCCCGCTCGCGAAAACGCCCCAGGGCCCTCGCGAACGGCGAGACGAGCGCCCCAGTCGATCCGCCTCTCGGCGAGTATCGATTTGAATTTATTAAATAATTTGCAAAGCGACTCGCGCATGCTACATATTGAATAGCACGAGATAGTGAGATCAGAGTGAAGTTTTAGTAGAAAGAACCGAGTTCTCGTTATTTTATAAAGACAATAATAATATGTGTACAGCAAATGACAGTTCTATTGCGGCAACAATAGAACGAGATTGGTATATAAAGAGAGTGAAGTAAGACCTTTTTTACACCAAAAAGGTGAGGCATGTTGCATAATTATCGTAATGAAAGAAGATATGCGGGAGTATAGTAATGATGATAATATATTGAGAGAAAAAAATGAAAGATATTTATTTGGTGGGTACTAATAATATATTCACTTAGATCAAAATTTTTGTATACTTACATAGAGTAAACAGTTGCTTTTATGAAAAGTTACAAGAAAAAGAAAGTTTGGTTAAGTTAGCCAAATTTCTGATAAAATATGAATAAACCAGAAAATATAGGTTGGAGAATTCTGTTTCGAGAGTTAACAAAATCACCAGAAATCTGGTTAATCCAGCCAAACGTTTCTTCCGTGTAAGATTTTTAGAAAATGTGTATTTCCTTTTATCTAAAAAATATATATTTCATGTATTACTATAAATATGTTATCAGTAGCCGCTGAATAAATATTTTTTGTTTCTCAGATATTTCTTCTCTCTGCGATAATGACAATAATTATATAACAATAATCTGTATCTACCACATGCTTTACTCTCCGACGCTTTTTCGTCCGATTATAACCTTCTCCTCGAGAGAAACACAAATATTCAGTGCCTGTTCGTGCGTAAATAATCACCATAAAAAGAGAAAGGGGGAGGAGGTGAACGAGAGAAGTAAAAAACCTACGACCTCGCGCGCTCTGTCGATGGATCCCAATTAGAATTCGCGAGCACGATCGGCGACGGCTCCATAGACGGGCATAATCGATCAAGTGGCTGAATCGGATTATCCGGCCGGCAATTAAGACACCATTCAGCGTGAAGCGGCTACGTATGCCGGTACCCGTGTCGGGCACAGTACGATCACAATGCGCGCGATCGATTAGTCGACACAGTAATTAAGGTCATAGAGTGCAGCCAACCTCTAACCGGCCCGCGCCCGCTCGCTCGCTTTTGCGGCCGATTGTGCCCGCGACACGGTATTCGTTTCTAGGCCGGCGATTAGATCAATCGCGACGTACAATTAATCATTAGGCCCGAGGATAATCTTGTCGCCGGTAATGCGCGTGCGCCCGTGAGCGCGCTCTAATGCAACATTCATGCTTCGCTCGTGCGAGATAACGTTTTCCCGCAGCGACCTCGTGCGTGTCCGCGCGACAGACCTCGCAGGAAAATAT